TGGAGATGAATTTGGATTTCTCTTCTAAAGAGAATCTAGACTAAGAATTTTTCTTAATACACCACTTCACACGATCGTCACTTTACTTTTTAATTTGGAAAACGAGTCTCATGATGAATAAAAAATATGGCTGCTCTATCACTAACGTTGGTACACCTGCTTATAGGTAAGAAAGCGTTAACAAGACGTTCACTTTATTGTTGGAGATTAAACAGCTTGTGTAAACAATAATGCACTTGCGATAATGGATTAAAAAATATTTTCACTGACTCAGAGCTTAATGATCGACATATATCAAGATTATTAAGGAAATTTCGTCTTCGCGTTCACGGATATTTTATCTTAGTGTAATTTGTTTCAGTAGTGTATTAGTTACTCATCCGATAGTAATCCGAAGATCGTATTCATAAATTGATTTGGAGATTAGAGAATAAAACTTAGTGAAGATATCTCATAGAGAAAATGCTTTATCCTTAATTTACTACTTACTATTAAAACCATAAACGTTTTCATCGATAGCTAATATTTATATATTACTAGCTTGCCAGGCAGACGTTGTTCTACCCTTTTCGCAAAAAATATTGTGGGTCACTTATGGGCAAAAAAACTATCTTATCTCTCAAGTTGGACCAAACTGCCCACGGTGTGCATTTTTGATTAAAATCGGTTAAGTAGTAGTTTAGCAGTCCATCGCGGACAAACAACGTGACACGTTATTTATATATATTATATCACCCAACCTAATTAGAATAAAAAAGGTATAAAAATAATGTGTTTTACTAAATGCTTTTGATGTTAAACCAATTCTTGTTATGCACAAACAGTTTACGTTCAAGGAACAGCCCAGGTGACAATAACATCGCGCGTCTTTTGTTGAGCGTCATACCGGGCCCGTCAGCATCGGCCTCAATGCCTTTCATCGAGCTGCTTTTCGTTTATATAGACGATACCGAGACGCTATTCAGACCTATCGATATTGAAATAATACAATATCGATTTAATAACATACGTTCGGATTCAAACTTTTGGGATGTTTACTGAGTTGCCTTGCATTTATATGATATTTTTATTACGTGGAGTTAAAACTAAATGTTAAATAAGTTTCTGATTCTGGTAATTCACAAATTAATCTTGATTTATTTTGCCTTTAATATAGATATAAAAAGTATCTTATTTTTATTCTTTTTTATTTCACTATCATTATTTTCAAAACAGCTTTGCCATTTCTTAGGAATAGAATGTCATAACATAATAAACAAAATTGACGAAGGGAGCCTCACTCATTGTTTTTCGTACGCATTACTTGAAAATTCTTTTGATTATTTAATATTTAACTGATTAAATCCCTAATCAAGTTTGAAAATATTTGATTTCCTTCTACATAGAATCAGTTTTCCCCGACACAGTTTCGTTCTATTATATCGTTTCTTTATGGTTTCGTCAGGATAGGCCCCCACAGCACGCCGTTCAGTTTGACGGGGTTTCTCTATTCATTAGTATTTGAACTGTTCAGTCGGAGGCGAGATACTAACAGGTGGAAATTCACACTGAAGACATTGTGGAGCGTGCCGCAGACTGTACGCGAACGCGGTACGATGTCGGCTGTCATTTTAGTCGCCGTTTGAGAATATTAATATCTAAGCCTCGAACATAGAATATTATAATACACAAATGTATTATAATATTCTAAGGTCGCGAACGAATAAGATATTCCAAGATATGGTTTACAATTCGACAGTTATTTTGTGTACATACAAAGGCTTATTTAGATTTATATATTAGTTAGTTATGGAGCGCATTGAGAATTGGTATAAAGTCCCTAAATCTGAACGATATTATCATCATCATATTCGTCATCTTCATTACAGGCCTTCACAAGTCTAAGATAACGTAGGCCTCATCAAAGAATGCCACAAATACGATCCTGAGCCACTAGACTCCCTGGCCTAATAAGGAAGTTCCAGTTCGCTTAGCAAGCGAGGAGAGGGCTACGCTCGAGTTTTCTCCGCGTGACAAAATTCCATGTTACGATATTTTCAGTAGAACCAAACCAACAAACATAACATCTGATCACTGAATTGAATTAGCAATGGGACTATATAACCTATTTAATAAAAAAAGCATCTTCAAAATTGGTTGTTGACGAAGATATCGCGTAACATATAAAAAGAAACCCTAAAATCGAATTGTAAGCCTTCTTTTTTGAATTCAACTAAAAGTCTCTCTATGTTTTGGACCACAGCGCTTTGCCACCAGATTGTCCGTCTATATAACCCTATGTACCCTCAGATTTAGAATAGTGGGCTGAGGGTACATGTAATTTACTAAACTAGTGACTACTTTTGTTCACCGCGTCTAGTTATTTTATGTTGGTTCAAAATGCTTATTCATCTATTGAATTATACATTCTCTTTTACGTCGTAGCACGAATATGTCCACTCGATCGGGGAAAGACCACACTCTCACAGAATATCAGCGTGAAATAGTAGGTCAATGCTGCAGTGTTTCCTATGGTGAGTGTAGAGGACCGGAGACCCATTTTACTGGAAACGAGACATTTCATCTTGGTCCTCACGGGTGACAACGCATCTGCATTGGAGATGTCTATGGGTCACAGCATTCACTTACCATTAGGTGAGCTCTGTACTCATTTGACACACTTATTCTATATTAAATAAAATTAAAAACGACCAATGCGAAATGATGACTTATTTTCCATAGTTGGTACACTTGGCAGTGGCAACCGCAGTTCATATTGATTGAGTTTTTAATTGAGCTTTTAATAAAAAGATACTGATGTCTATCTCCTGCTTCAGTGTGCCTCTGTCACCTTTTACAATATCCACGGGATGATATGGATGAGTGGATTATATTATACCGCTTCTACGAAATTAAAACATTTCATAACAAGCCATAGTTTCCATCAAATAAACGATATAAAATTGAATGCGCACCAAACAAATACTTAAAACAATAACTATTGAAAAAAATGACACGAAAAATAAGAAGAAAACGACGATTCGAAATGTTTACGCTGTTCTAGGTCGAAATACTGTGTTTATCTTATGAACACGTTTGTTGATTGAATTTCTTTTAAGCAAAGACGTAAAGCAAGCGTCACCAGATCTTTAGAAAATATACTAAAAGTTAACGCTTGAAATATTAATGTAGGGAATAATAATGAACATATATATATATATATATCTCTTTTATATATCCAATGCCTTTAAACGAGCAATTCTTGTATATATATATATATATATATATATACAAGAATTGCTCGTTTCGGGGGCAATAAATTGATCTAGCTAGGTAGGACTCATTTTTAGACAATGTCGTTTCATCCATGTTTTTAGGTAATGAAAAACTGCTACAATAGTACAAGAGTCCAAATGTCTCCGGTCTGACTCTTTTTTCCGTCTTTGATGAGAAAATATATTATTTGGATTATTACCAAAAACAATACCGAGGAAAGCTCGGTCATTCAGATACTATCATTATCTAACCGTGTTGTAGCGGTGTAAGCATATCCACTACCACAGTCATACAATCGATGTCGTAAGATGCGGCAGAGGGAGATGAAACGTGAGGTGGTTTAGCAGCATCTTACTGATAATGACTCAAAATAATGAAAAACCTCGGATACCAAGCATGGCAACCGTGGTAGACAATAATGTCTTCAAAAGCTCAGTTGCACTCCCTATTCCCTCACTCTCATAGTCCGATGAGATGGTAAACCGATACGACCGAAGGGAGATCAGGCGCAGGACCAACGGCTTTACGTGCCTTCGGAGGCACTAAGTTGGGATGGGTGAGACATCGCCAACTTCTTAACTCCGGACAGCTAGGTACTGAGAAATTCTTGATGGAAAAACTCAATAGCTGGTTCCTTTTGGTACGACCCGGGTCGATGGCGGATAACCCTCACATGAAGCAATCCATGACGGACACCTATGTTAAGTAGTAGCTTAAAAGTAAAGTTTTATAGGTTTAAATGAATGAATTCGCGAGTAAAATACAAAAATGCTACTGACTGTTGACTAGCTTCTCTATTGAATAGGTTCAGCAAACAAATCTCGTTGACATTTTTTATCTATTTACCCTCTTATAAAATTATCTATGAGTGAGGTTTATGTTATACTGTGTGTGATGACGATGATACATGCAAAATTTATTAGTTTAATCAGCTTAGCGTTTAACTGTGACACTGCGGGTTAGAATACCGCACCTAACCTTAACTGTTTGTTCGGTCTATATATAATTTACGAGGCTGGAATCCGGATATTTGTCCATATATAATTTATGATTAAATGTTCTAGCTAAAAGCAGAGTACGCGAACAACCTGAGTTCGATCCTCGGAGACACCACATTGATAATTGGAATTTTAAGTGCTGATTTCTTTAAGTCCAAAAAATTTCATGAGTTTAAGAATTCATTTTAAGCAGCTCGATCAAGCGTGATGGTTAGGTACTCCTCGTTCCATTGCCCTCATTTTAATGACTCTGCCTTGTGCACAGCTGTGGGCTGTTGCGTTGTTTTTGCTAATTTTTTTTACTCACTTTCTTCTCTGTTCGTCTGTGCTGTACAAATACAATCAACTTTTTTTATATAGGATAGGGTGACAAATGAGCACACAGTCCACCTGATGTTAAGTGGTTGCTGTGGCCCATAGACATCTACATCTATCCTCGATTACTAATCAAAATGCAGATGCATTGTCACCTGTGTGGACTAAGATGGAATGCCTCATTTCCAGTACAAAGGGTCTCCGGTTCTCTACACTCACCATACGAAACACAGCAGCATCAAGCTACTATTTCACGCTGGTATTCCGTGAGAGCGTAGTCCTTCCCCGGTCGAGCCGACCCATTCGTGCTACAACTATACTATTAATATGACTACAGCATGGCTCTACCACGTAAAAAATTCAATTTCAAATTATTACCATTTCATTCTTCTTTTTACTTTTATTTCATTGTTACATATGTATTGTTATCAGGTTACCCGAGGCGTGTGACAAGGCTCCTGCGGCGAGTGCGTCCCCCACGCTGACCGAGCAACCTCTTGACCTCAGCGCCAAGTCTACTTCTAGCACCAGCGGCACTCCACCCCCAGATCATAACAACTTGGACAACTCCAGGTGAAACATCGTTATATTATTAGACTTTTATACATTCTTATTAAACAAGCTAAAGGGTAAAACAGTAGAAATAGAATTTATTTTATTTTAGTTATTAAACAAGTGGAAAAAATTAAACATTTATACAACCGACTTTAATATAAACGAAATGAGAACATCGCCAATGTATTCGAAGTCAATTCAATACGCATTATTTAAGGATTACTCAAAAACTACTGGTCAGATCTTGATCATGTAAAGCTTTATTCGTAAAAGTGGTGCGATTTTGTGAATCCAGTATCTGCGCGTGTGAACTGTTAGAGAAAACGACGAAACAAATGCTTTGATGTTGATATAAACCTCAAGTTATTTTGACCGCATGGACGCTTTATGAACTAGAGTGGCTGTCGTCATCAACTGTCCACTGGGTTGAGCTGTCGTCAAAATCTCCCAAAAACTTCGCAGTGTGACGAATCAGCATATTGTGAAGAAAAGATATATAAAAACGAAGATTTCTAAAGAAATGATCTCAGAAGGTCTCAGAAGGGCTAGAACTCAGAGCCATAAAGCCAGTTAAAAAAGAGACTTATTTCGTGACAAAGATTATTTAAATCTGAGACGTCAATAAAGCAAGTTTTGTCATAAGACCGATAGTGTCTACCGTACCTTGCTTACAAAGCATCGCCCCCATTTCATCCCGTGTGTGTCGTAAGAGTTGACTATGGAATAATGACAGAAAGATCGGGCTTCTAATACGTGCTAGAATAACCATCTTCTTTACTCCAAGCATTAAAAACCAATACCGGCGGCGGAAAGCAGCGCAAAGCATGAAAGGTGCGAGATTTATGGTACTGTCATTGCCTATCTGACTGCCATGTGTTGCGATTAAGGATTTTACGCATTAAAAATAAATAGCCCGTCTTTATTTGAAATGTTTTATTTAGTACGTGAGGGTAACGTGGTTATCCGGTTAATATCGTCACTTTCTTGTAACTCAAAAACTACGGTCTGGTTTGCATAGATGACTTTGTGATACGATAGCTCTTCATTGGTCAATCAAATATTAAAAGGTCAAGAAGGCGATGCTTTATTGACGCCATTTCGACAGTTGACATTATAGTAAATATTTTAGTCGATTTTAGTGTTCCTAATTATTGCCAAAGATTTTTTGCTATTTTTTTTCTTAATATATTACTTATAGTACACGACTTTGTATTTTTGTCTCTTTCTCCTAGTTTTGGTTTTATAGGGAGGCAAATCTTACGGTGACTATATTACCCTTACGTACCTTTGTTATCTACGATAGTATAATAAATTTATAAACATGCCAACATCCAATTAAAATACATATAACATATATAAAAATTGGACTAGCTTCAGCTCTATATCTCACGTTATAACTCAAAGTTATCAAACTAACTTCGCTCTAACATGATCGAGTGTGTACGTATGCAAAAAGAAAATATAACTACTGGTATAACTAAATAAATATAAGCACTAGCAATCCGCCTTCGCCTGAATCTATGAACATGGTCTTATTTGGATTTCATATAATCGAAGACCATTTCTTTTATCAACATACGTTTCTTCAAAACAAAACTTCAAGGTTTTCGTCTAAGTATAACTTAGATCTCTCCTGGCTTTGGTCGCTATTTGTTTGTAAAGTATTATCGCAATCGATTCAGCCATTTCGTAGATTAGCCTGGAGACAGATAGACAAACAATTTAAAATGATTATTTATTATATACATATATAGTAATTAATCATTTTTAATTTTTGTAAAGTTTGCAAAGTAAAGTATCATCTGCCTCATCTACACTTACCACATGGTACAAAAGTGTAGATGCAAAACCAGGGCTTACAGCAGAACCATAAGAATACTTTATATTAGTGGCAAAGAACAAAAAACTGAACTGTATTGTGCAGTAACCTACATACTGGTTTTTAGTATAGTTGGAGCACGAATGGGTCGGATCGACCGGGGAAGGACCACGCTCTCACATACTGTGAGATTGGTCCTTCCCATACTCAGTGTAAAATAGCAGCGTAATACTGTTGTGTTTTGTATGGTGAGTGTAAAGAACAAAATACCCTTTTTAACTGGAAACAAGGCATTCTATCTTAGTCATCAGATGTGACATCGAATTTGCATTTTGATTCTTAATTGAGGATAAATGTGGATGTCTATGGGCCACAGCATCCACTTACCATCAGGTGGACTGTGCGCTCGTTTGTCAACCAATTCTATAAAAAATATGTCTTAATTATAACAAGTTTTTTTTTCTATTTTATAGACAGACACTAATTTATTTAGAGAATAATAATAATTTATTTTATTTTTCTTATGTATAGATAAGTTAACAGAATTAAATCGAAAGCTATCGTGTTCTTTAAAACAAATTAGATGAATTAGGATTAGTTTCTTTCAAAGCAATCATTACCAATTACCATGTTTATAGGATAAGGGTGAAAACGAGAAAGTTGTGTGGTGGTTGTCATAACGTCTACGTTAATCCTCGACTAAGAATCAAAATGCGGATGCGTTGTTTCCTCTGAGGACTACGATGGAACGCCTTGTTTTCAGTAAAAGGGTATTTTGTTCTCTACACTCACCACTTAGCTTTGTAATTTTAAATTAATAGTCATTTAAAATATATTGAAATTATGTGAAGTAGTCTTGAACGCAATATCAATACATTTTTAGAGCAGAGGCATAATGCCAACGGTTTGTTTCGAATGATTTGTTTGCCGACCCTATTCAATAGAGGAGCTAGTTAACGGCCGGTTGCGTTTTTATTTTAATCACATTACGCAGCGTATTCATTAATTCATTCTTTTTGCCTGTTAAAAGTCGACTACTGAACGTAGGCTCCCATCATAGATTGCCTGATATTCGATATTTCCCAAAGCTGAAACGTTTGGCAGACGTATTGGCAAATGCAGTTTTTAATTTTGAGTTGTAATCGGGAAGTTGCTGATTGTTTCTTTTTCATCAGTCGCCTTCTATGATATCTACCCATATGATGATACGAGGTGCATTTTATACCTACATTATTTTAAATAAAAGAAAGAAAACGTTTGCATTGCATTACCTTCCTTCATCATTTATTTATTTATTTAGATAGATACATAATCAACAACATCAATATACATTTTTCCAAACGAAATACAATTTTTCTACACAAAGAATATACGTCTTCATAAGAAACGTATACATCATTATAAGAAAAAAAATTAAACAACATAGATATAAACTCTAAAACAAACTAATTAACCTAAGAACACCACACCTGGTAACAATTACAATAAATAACAGATTAGAAGAATAGTAGGTCTTTACATTTCCTTTTAAATACACGTTCGGTGTCGATAAAGATGTCGATGTCATGATTGTTTAAGGTGTTCTAAGTTCGCATACATGTGATTAACGGAGAAAATTTTCCAAGATTGGTTCTACTGAAGGGATTATTGAATAAATTACTAATTAGTTGTCTAGGGATATGATATTTTAAAGCACACTTGTTGCAATAACTTGGCGAAATTAACTTACCGTCTACAAGTTTATTTAGCGTCAAAGTTTTCGTCGGTCAGTCAGTGTATTCATTCCAAGATCATTGAAATTTTTAGGATTAATTAAACGGGTAACTAAAACTTTTAAAAATAAAAAATCCAAAGTAATTCTTTTTTTACTCATTTATTCTTAGTAATCTTGAATATTGTTTTTCTGTCTGGAATCCATATTATCAAACACATATAAATAGGTTAGAACGAGTGCAAAAGAAATTCCTTAAGTACCTTTATTTCAATAACAACAAAATACACAGGCAAGTAACTTACATTGAAAGACTGGATCATTGTAATGTGATTTCATTAAATGATCGAAGAGCGCTTGTGGACATGTGCTTGTTACACAAAATCGTTAACAATAAAATTAGCTCGAATAATCTTTTAGGTAAAATGTCATATGTATAGACCTAGACCTAATTCTAGAATAAGAAATTATAGTTTATTCAAAACTAGGTATTGTAGAAAAAATATCGGAATATCAGCTCCAATTAATAGAACCTTAAAAACTTATAATGTAATTTCTAAATTAGTCGATCTTGACATATTCAACGATTCTTATACCACTTTTAAAAATAAAATTAAAAACATTTTTATAATAAAATTAAGATAACCTCATGAGTTATTGTAGAAAAAAAAAGTTTTTGTTTTTTTTTTCTTTTTGTTTGATGCATTACAATAGGTTTTTTGTTATCCTTTCTTCTTTTTTCAATAAAAATGTGCGTTACTTATTATTTTACTTTAACATGTTAAGTTAGCCCATAAGTATGATATGTACTAAACTTCAGATTAATCTATAAAATTTGTAAACATTTTTTCATTGTACAATATCATGTTGGCTTCCTAATTAATAAATAAAGATGAGAAAGCCTGAAGTTATAATCATATAGTATAGTGCAGTTTCGAACTTTATATGCGATGAATCGAGTGAAGCTCATTGCAAGTATTTATGAAAATGTAATCATACTTTCTTTTGTCTATATATACGTTACGATTGTAATCACCCAGGGTGTAGGAAGATTCAAAAAATCTGATAGCTACTTGAACCACGTTGTACCAAAAGTTATATGGGTATAAATGCTAAATTTTGAAAGAAGTGGTAAGTGTGCTACACAATCACGAACCCAATATCGCATTAGTAACCTTTTACGACAGTTTAAGCAAGCAGCACTGTTGGCGCATTCTTCATTGTTATACGCCCCATATAAACATGAGACCTGCATGTCCCAGACGAACAGTTTATAAAAAAAAACCATTAATACATAGGCTGCACTAAAAGTATCGGGAATGGAATATTTCCACTGTTCCTGTCATATTAAAATCTTTTTAATTGAAAACTCCTTGGTTTTAAAAATCGAATACCATTTATTTATTTAAAAAAAAGATTCTCGGTCTTGTCACAAGGTTTTGTCAAACTTGTTTAGTCGTTGAGAAAATGGAATTGACTCGAGAAAAT